GCCACTTGTGTGTGTGTGTGTGTGTGTGTGTGTGTGTGTGTGTGTGTGTGTGTGTGTGTGTGCGTGTGTGTGAGTGAATCATCTGCTGTTTCCATTTCTACTTGACCTTTGACCTTAGCTCTCACGTTCCACATTTACATCCATCAACATGAATTATGACCATTGAACCGTCACACACTCACCTCAGCACATTAACATCTTCTGAGCTCATCATATCTGCAGTGTCCCCTGTTGTTTCCGTGGTAACACAGACACTTGGCATCTCCATGGCAACTGACAGCAGGCCATAAAGCAGAATCTGAATCCGTTTATTGTCATTGTAATCTACGACGACAACGAAATCAGATGTATCACTTCTATTGGTTCATAAAAACACACAATCACACAACAACCGACGTAGAATAAATCTATAAATATACTAATGACATTACATTTCATTTAGCTTTTATCCAAAGCGACTTACAATAAGTATAAAGTGAACTTACAATTTAATAAATAAACAATCTCTGTTGCACAAGTCCATAAAGTGCAACGTGAGCGGCAGGAGGGAGTGCATGTTAGTTTGGCCTCTGGGAACAAATTGTCTATAAACCTGGAGCTGTGTGATCTGAAGCAGTCCAGGTTGTTTCTCCGCAGCAGTCTCAGTCTGTGATGGTTGCAGTAGTGTTGGCAGTCCAGGAGAGGTCATTGGAGAGCATGAGCATGTTGGTGCCGCCTTTAGAGTTGGTCCTCAGTCCTCCTCTTGTCGGCCTCCTGAAGCCTCTCAGTTCTTCCGGTTCAGTTTTCGTCCCCTGACCTGAAGGGTGTTGGGTTTTTACGAGTGTTGGGACCTCACTTGTCATCCAGGGTTTCTGGCTGGGAAACGACCAAATACACCTTTAACAGTGGAAACAAGACCAAACAGAAGCATGTACAGTGTAGTACTGTATAGTACAGTGTAGTACTGTATAGTACAGTGTAGTACTGTATAGTACTGTGTAGTATTGGGTTGTACAGGGTAAGGGTCTAGGAAATGCTTTATGTCAATGAACTAACATAGAAGTACAATCATGTTGAAAATAAAGTAAAATATTTTACAGTGAAGGGTTTTCTCTTTATCCAGCACTTCATGTTACCTAGCAACCACTGGTCGCTGCTTTAATAACATGTGACTGCACAGATGCTTGTACGGTTGCCATGACAACACCTGCTCGCTGTAAGCACACACATTCTTGTACTTCTTCTTAGTGAGGACACTCATTGGCATGTCCTCAGTCTGTAGCTGTATGCAGTACAAGTAAAAGTACACACAAACACACACAGGTTGTTTTCAGCTCCGTGTTAATTCATGATGTCTGAACTCTACACTGTAAGAACACGTGTTCCATGTGTTTCTCAGCTCTGAAACATGTGAAGCTCTGGGCCATCGACCGCCAGTGTTTCCAAACCATCATGATGAGAACTGGACTCATCAAACACGCAGAGTACATGGACTTACTGAAGAGGTGATCCAACGCCATCCAACGCCATCCAACGCCATCCAACGCATCCAACGCCATCCAAC